AAGATCTGTCAAAGATGTTTGAAAGGCTTGTTTGTCCCTCTGCAAAGGAAATCCTCCCCCTCCCTGCTATATGCACTTATTGCTCCAGAGAGAGCACAGAGAAGTACCGTGGCCTTTCTGCCATTGTTCTTTTTTGTTTATTCCTACTTCTGACATTCTGATGAAAGGGGAATAGGAAAATTGGCAAAACACATGGAAAGGAGTTTCCTCATGTGACAATAACACAAGACAAGGCAGGGCAAGAAAGGGGTTTAATTTGCCTGCTTTGATATTTTTAACAGATGTGGACCATAAAAGAAGGGGTATTAGTCATTTGCATGTATCTGTGCCTTTTGATGATGGGTTAAGGGGAGAATTTTGGCACTGCTTTTATACTACCACATTGAATAAGCCTACAGAGAAAGCTCACCAAACTCCTTTAGAGGAAAGCTAAAAGAAAATCTCCAGCTTACCCTTAACTAAATGAGTACATGTATTCCTTTATGTGGTTTCCCAAAGACTCAGCTCTCCATGTTGGTTTACAGAAAATGGCCTTGAATGTTTTCCCCATTTTATCTTTAAAGTGAACTCTTCAACTTTACTGAGATGCAAAGTTCTGTCAATTGGAGTACTAGGCCGTGGTCCTGCTCCATGCAGTGGAAGGGTTAAAACAGGGGGTTAAAGAGGGTTCAGGCAGAGGTGGGTTTGGCCCTCAGGAATTTTGCTATAACTAATCATTTGAGAATATTTATGTGACCGTTCTGATACGTCACAGACATAGAAATCTCAGGAATATGTGCCTGAAATCCCCCTAGATGAACAGGCTAACGTGCTCCTCCAGTACATGCTGAGTTTGTACTCCAAGGGACGCTTCACGTAATGCCAGCCTGGATGTTGCTGATCTAGTTGAAGATGTCCCTACTCATTGCACAGGGGATGGACTAGATGATCTTTGAAGGTCCCTTCCAACCCAAACCATTCTGTGATTCTATGATTCTAAAACCAACCACCTACTATTTTACTTTCTGAAAGGAGAAGTCTCTGCGCCAATGCGCACTTTGGGAAGACACGCTAATTCCTGACATGCAAAGCTTTTGTGGCTATTGCAAAATGCAGATCCCAGGACACATTCCAAAATCCTCAGTGGATCTGAGCCAGCTGGGAGCCACATTGGGAACGGCAGAGCAGAAATCCTCTGCAGCTGCCCTCACTTCCTAGGAACAGCCACATGTGGCCAACTGCATCTTTGTAAAGGATCAAATCAGGAGTTGGCCAATGGTTTTAGTCCATCCTTCCTTTTACAGCTGCAAAGTCCAAGAATCCCAGGAGAATCTCAACACAAGTTGGTCTGAGTTAACAGAAATCTCCATGGGGTGGGAGGTCCAGGAAGACACGTCACTACCTCCAGCGTCCCAGCCTGAGTGAGCGTTCATTGAACAGACTGAGGCACTTGTGGGTGAGCTCTCTTTCATTCTTCTCTTGAACTTGAAAAACTCTTTTCTCTCTGTGTGGCTTTTCATTCTTTTGAATGAAAACCCCAGTCTTTTTTTCTGTGTGGCTGTTAGAGAAAACTGCTCTTGCAAGCAGCGCCACAGGCACGGGTTTGGGTGTGCTAAGGCTGCAAAAGAATTTGAAGGGAAAGGAAGCACAAGCACCAACTAGATCAGAAAATACTTCTGTACTTTTACAATGCAGTTGGAAGGATGAGGCACCCTCCGTGCTGCACAGCTGAAGGGTAAGTTGCTCAGCTGCAAAATGTTCCCTTTTCCACTAACTTGGCCTGTTGTACCCTCATGAAAGACATTTGTATGGGGATGTTTCTGCATGTAACTGCTGGACTCAGTGCTGCTGGCTTCTCCTAGTCCTGCTGCTTCAGGGGGGTAATAGGCACTGCAAACTCTCTGGATGCTTAAAACTCCTCCAGAGCCCTCCAGATGTCTTCTTCCTTTTGTGTTGCTTATTTTTCTTCCCACGTGTCCTGGGTTCAGCTACAGCAGTCATTTTTTCTCCTTCTTAGTAGCTGGTGCAGTGCTGTGTTTTTGACTTTCAGTCTGGGAACAATGCTGATAACACCGATGTTTTTAGTTGTTGCTAAGTAATGTTTACTCTGACCAAGGACTTTCTCAGTCTCATGCTTTGCCAGAGAGGAGGGGAAGCCAGGAGGAAGCAGAGACAGGACCTGACCCAAACTGGCCAAAGGGGTATTCCACACCACAGCACGTCATGCCCAGGATAGAAACTGGGGGGAGTTACCCGGAAGGCCCAGATCGCTGCTCGGGTCGGGCTGGGTATCGGTCGGCGGGTGGTGAGCAGTTGTGTCCTCTCCCCTTGTTATTTCCCTTATCATTATTATTGGTAGCAGTAGTGGTTTGGTGTTATACCTTAGTTACTGGACTGGTCTTAGCTCAGCCTGTGGGGGTTACATTCAATTCTCTGCCCCATCCCTTGGGGAGTGGGGGGAGGAAGGAGCGGGAGGAGTGAGCGAGCGGCTGCATGGTTCTGAGTTACCAGCTGGGCTTAAACCACGACACCAACATTATTTTTAAGCCCTATCAGTGTTGTAACCCAGCTCACTGCGCGGCCCTACAGTGGTAATCAGGAGGCAGAAAGGATTAAAGGCTGCAGGAAGAGGGGCAGAAGCAACCATGGGCACAGAGAAATGCCTCTAGCAATGAATCAGTGGGAGCTGTGAGGAGTTTGGACCGGACCAGGTCCCGCCTATCTGTGATGCAGGGCCACGTTCACACCATGTAACCTGGAGAGCAAAGTACACACTGAGGAGTGGGAGAGGGGGACGGTGCCTTGTTAGCTCCTGCTCAGTAAATCCATCCCGAGGGATGTGGCACCATGCAAGCCGAGCCTCCTGCAAGCAGGTCTCCCTTTGCAGACCAGAGTTTTCTGTCTGATCAACAGTGTGATCTGAGTCGCTGCTCGGTTGTGTAGTTGTTAGGTTGCATGGAAGGTGGTGGAGGCTGGGGGGGAGTGAGGGAGAACGTGTCTGCTGGCCAGAGCCTGCTGTGGCATCCCCTGCACAGGGATGCTGGTGGACATCGTGGTCTGCGGGATGCTGAGTCCATCCATTGGTGATAGTCCCATCACCGAAAGGCATTTGGTGCTGGGAGGAGGGTACTTGTGTCTGCTCCTTGCAAACACAGCATGAGAACAGTAAATAAGGCAAGTTGTGATGGTGACAAACAGGGACAAGAAAAATGTTTTCCACTTCAGGAGGTAAAGACAGCTTGAAAAATTATGCTTATGTGGGAGGAAGAAGGAGGGGAGAGACATCTGTGCTTGTGTACTCATTCATGTTTTTACTAGCCTTTATTATATTTAGACTATGCTAGATGATACTAGAAGTACTTTGCATCTAATGTTGATCTGGGGAGCGGGAGTGTTCTGTGGCAGCCTTTAAAGCTCCTCCTGGCCAGGTTTCCTTACACGTTTGACACTTTGGATGCAGGTTACGCTGCACTGTCATCCGATGGAGGTGTAAGCTCAGAGCTTTTTCGTTCAGTTGTTTTGCTTTATGTTTTCTTTTGCTAGCAGGCTGTAATCAGACAGGAGCAGAGGGAAATCAAATGTCATTAAACACTCTGAGACCTCTGCCCTTTTTGGGCTGACTCAGCTGAAGGCCGAGTCCTTCATTTCTTTAACAGCTGAATGGGAGAAAAAGAAACACAATGTCCCTTGTATTTCTAAAGAGTCACTGGAATGAAAAAGAATCCGTTCTGAGATGGAAGAATTAATCTTAGAGCTGGTGCTTGAAAAACGGTGGTGTCTGTGTTTGATATTTGGAGAAATACTAAGCTGGGACATTGTTATAGCTTCCTCGGGTGCCTTTATCCCTTAGAGAGAGGCAGAAAACCAGAAGCAGCTTATTGCTTCTCAGAAAGTCTATCAAGGACATCAGGCATACAATGTAATTTCTGTAAACTGCTTTAATCTGATCTCATTTTCTATAATAGTGGTGTTTAACGATCACTTTGTCTTAACTCGCTTTCCCTCCTCCCTTGTCCAAAGGGAAAATTCTTTGAATGAAAGAAGAGGAAGGAAACAAAGCCGCAGTCCCAGCAGTTGTCAGCCAGGCCAGCTTTGTGCTGTTAGGGAGGAACTGGCCGAGTATGTCTCCCTTGACATGTGTGCGTCTCTCCTTTTGCTATATCCTGATGAATTCTGCAGGGTTTTACCCACAGAGAACTCTCTCTTGTGTTTATGATGGGAGTTAATTTGTCTGAGAATTGATCAGAAGCTTTAAATGCCCGGCTCCCAACCTTGCCAGTACAAGGGACGACTCTGAAACCCTCTTGGTTTCTGTAATTTCTGGACCCATCCCCAAGTAAAATATCACCAGGCACAACAGATCTATACCTTGTATACTTTATCACATCCTGTCCTACCATTGCAGTGGGGTTTTCACTTGGGCTTTATTCAATGCTGTCTCAGTGTTGTGGCCCTAAGTTGTGTTCAGTGTCTAACGTGTGCTTCCCAGCTCTGTGCACACAGTGGTATGTGCTGTGAGAATCTGCTTGTCCTGGTTCCGAAGTGGTGCAGAACAGCCCAAGTGGGGCTGCAGTTTCTCACGCAGACTCAGCAGGACAGATGTGTCTTGGTCTTCCTGAGAGGTGGTTTTAAACCAGATGCCCCGGGGGGGGTGGATTGCTGGGCTCTTGAGATCTGCCCCCCCATTCAACTCTCAGTTCCCCTCTCTTCTCTCTCACATGTTCACTCTCTGTTGGCTCTACCACTTCCTTGTAACTCATTCCTTGAAAAGGGAGGGTAGGAACAGAAATAACTCCATTAGGCTGGTGTCTGCCCATTTACATTTCCTCAATGCATACGGTAATGGACAAGCCAGACTCCTCTGGATTTAAGCACAAATCCTCCCTGTTCCATTGCAGCAAACCTATTCTGAACCCAGGACACCAGCTACCACTGCTGACTGTTGCATCAGCAAGAACTAAACCTGCTCAGAGGAGATCCTGATCAAGAAATCAGATTTTCTAGTGTCTGGAAGAGTCAACATGTTGGATCAGATTCATCTGCTGGCTGCTGTGACAGTCCTGGGAATCCTGGAGCAAGGTAGGGACCATCGGATGCACATGCCCAAGTACTTCTTGAGTCAGTCTACTGTACCTCCACTGATTTCCTTTCACTCACGTATTGAGTTTCTGCTGTTGCACTGGCACTTCCCTGGTTTTCAGACATTGGAGTGATACCTTGTGTGGGTTTTGAAAAGTAATCAACAAAACAAGTGCCTGTGAAGCCCTCGCTCTGAACTGACCTGCCTCCTCAGTTCAGAAATTTCTTGGTAGATCATCTCCTCTGCAAACACGTAGAATTTCATTCTTTGAGAAATGGGCTTACAGCAGTACCTGAGGTTTGTTAACATTCGAAGAACGCTGCAGTGTGGAAAGGCAGAACGGGCTGTGGTGGGTCACCCGGGACATCTCCCAGCCATGGTTCCACATTGCATGACTATTAGTTCAGTGTCTGAGTGGTTTATCTGTGGCATCACTCTCCTCCCTACTCAGCTATAAGGACTTAGAAGGGGAAAACATTAAAGATTGGAAAAAACTTAAAATTGGCAGTAACAAAGTACATCTGAACTGTGTAACTATTTCTATAAGTAATAGATGATCTGTTAATTACACATGAGAGAAAGCAGATATCTGGTGGTGGTACACGGCTGCGTAGTCCTCGCTTCACTGTTGTACTGGGTCATTCCTTTTCCTTGTCTGAAACATATCTGGGATTTTCATCCAGCTTTCCCTGCCATGCAGAGGAGGAGACCATGGATCTTTTGCCCCTACCTCGGGCAGTCTCCTGGCCCCACCATGCCCAGCCAGAGGACTGACCACTGCTTCTTTTCTCTCTTTTGTTGCAGCCTACTTCTTCCTCCAGGTGATCTATGCTAGGAGGGCGTTTGGCATTTCTCCTCCAAAGATCTCAGGCCCACCTGAATTTGAGAGGATCTTTCGAGCACAGTAAGAAACTCCTCTTACAAGATACTTGCCAGATCTCACATCTAATGGCACTGCCCCTCCCCTGCTTCGCCATTCATTTCTCAGGGCTGTAATTCAGCAGTTACCTCCCTTGGGGTTAAGTTAATGGACTTAATAGTCATCATGAGTGCTAAACACACCAGGCATTGCTGATAGAAATCACACCCGAATCTGCTGCAGAGTGAAGGGCTGCTAAAGACATAGTGGTTGGTGCCTGAGACTTAAGCTGGTTTTAGCCAAGCAGTGTTAAAGCCCTCAGGAAGCTTCAGCCCTGCCCTGAACCTCACTCACTGGCAATGACAAACTCCCAGAGAGATCTCAGCTGGGGCTGGGACTGGGATAGATGATCCAGCATCTCTGCTGTGACTTCTGTGCTAGGGCTGCAGTGGGGAGGGAAGCAGACAGGGAGGAAGCTTCCACTTCTGCTATAGCTAAGCACTAAAAGAAAAAGCAACCAGGCAACAGGAGCAGGATGCCCACAGCCATCCCATTCTCTGCTCCTTCGCCAGCCTCGACTGAACCTCATCCAGCATCTCTTGTCCATACTACTTTGTCTTTGGGGGGACAGGGCATGGCCTGCAGTAAAGTGTTCTCTCTTGCATGAAGCCCAAGCTGCTCTGGCTTTATCTGCTTAAGATGCACTTCACCCTCAAGGTGTCTGCAAGCCTGCTGGAGCAGACCTTCCTTGTGGCTTTGGGGCTGCAGCACTGAGGAAGGGGCAGCAGGGGTGGTTCACACAGCTTTTCTGTGCACAGACTGACCTGGGCATCTTTGACTTAATTCCTCGTGCCCTGGAGACCCAGTTTCTTCCACTGTTTAATTCCTGTGAATAAAGGTGGGATGGGAGCTGTGTGGAAAGATGGCAACATCAGCTCTAAAAGCAACAGCCTCCAGCGTCTGGAAACTGCTGAGGGAAGCAAAACCAGAAGATCTTCCTCTTCTCCCTTGTATATGACCTTCCTCTTTCCTGACAGGGTGAACTCCTCTGAGTATTTTCCCATTTTCCTGGCACTTCTGTGGCAGGCTGGACTCTTCTTCCATCAAGGTGAGATTAGCCCATTACCTGGTTAGTCACTGGATTTGTTCCCCTGAGCATGGCCCCAGTCCTCAGGTCCTGCTCACCTTCCAAACAATAAATCAGGCAGTAGTTCTGGCCCTGATGGGATGGTGGAGCCAGAGGACAGAAAGCCTCTATTCCTTCACTTTGGGCTACCTGCTTGGCTCTAAGCAGCTCTAAAAAGCCTTTGGAGATGGTCACTGTGAATTCTCTCAACTGCAGGTCTGGCTGCAGCCTTGGGTCTGGTCTATCTCTATGCCCGCTACCACTACTTTATCGGATACAAGGCATCACCCTCAGAAAGGTGAGCACCTCTGCCAGCCTGGAGTATGTGGGAACCACTGGGGTTTGCACTGGGAACATAATGTGCTTCAGAGAAGCTTCAGACTCTCCTGGCTGCTTTGGTGTCCCTGCATGACTCAGCCTTGCTGAGCTCTCCCTGGGGCATAACATGGGCATGGGTACAGGGCTGGTGCCAGAGACACAGACACGGGGCAAGGCTGGAGCTGCCCTGAGCTCTTGCGTGCCCCTTTGGGGTGGGAGCAGGGCATGGGAGCCCATGCAGGAGGGTTGCCTTTCCCCTCCATTCCAGCATGAGCGCAGTGATGCTCGGTCTCAGCAGTCTCCCTCTCTCCTACCAGGCTCGCCCCAATATACTTTGGCACTGGAGTTCTCTGGATTCTTCTTGCAGCATCAGCACTGGGCATCCTACATTTCTTCCTCTCTCACTACATGGGGCTGAACGTCCTCCAGCTTCTCACAGCGTGACCCACTGCTCTGTAACTCATCAGTGTCCTCGTCTTCGAGTCCTGCTCCCTCCTGCCCACAGTAACAGACTGCCGGCAACCAACACAGCCCCCAGTGACAAATCCACCCTCGCCTGAGTTTTTAACACCTCCCTCCTCGCTGCCAAGCACTGACATAAACTGCTGAGCATTTCAGGAGGTATTTTTCCGCTGTGGCACTCTGGGTGTCAAGTGCTCCATATCTGGCAGCTCCGTCATGCCTGATGTGGAAACAGCAATGCTCCAAAACAGGAGGAACTGTAGGAAAGCTGGACACATAAAAGCCACCTCATCTCAGCCTGAGCTTCCCAGTGAGCTGCCCCATGGAACTGCCATGTGCTCCCCTCCCTCCAGAGGCTCTGCCTCCAGCCCAGGCACCAAATGTGGGTTCATTCCAGTTTTCCAAGTCCCACACCTGAGAAAGGCATTTGTTTGAAACCAGATGTGGGCTGAGGCATAACAAAAGAGGTGAAGAATAAACAGGAGCAGCCACCAACGTGTTGTGCAAAAGTCTGTTAGTGCCCTCATGATGGTTATTAGCCACTGCCCATGGGTGATGCTGTAAATTGGAGCGCACAAACTGCTGCATGTGTCACTTTGAATACTGCTGAGCAACAACAGGCACAAATAAAAAGGCTCTGAGCTTGCTGTGCTGGGTGTCTCCTGGTGGGTCTGCAGGTAGCAGAGGACAAAACCACGAATGTTTGAGTGCAAGGTGGCTGCCTCAGTTTCCCTGCTGTGCAGTGCAACACAGCCTGCAACCCTACAGCCCGCGGGAGGAGAGCTCCAAGTAGGGAGAAGCTGATTTTCAGAGGATCTGAGCTCTGAGACTGGTGTCTGAGCCACTCAGCACCACACAGTGGTCCCAACTGGGTGTTTTTCCCAGTGCTCAGGTCCCCCTCTGGGCTTCCTGAGACAGGAAGAGATGGATTTTCATGGAGCCCTGCATTCACAACACTGATGCTTTTGGCCAGCAGTCTACTCATGTCAGCAGCACAGCCCAGAAAACACCAGCAGTGCTCTGTGCCATCGTCACGGGGGGGCTCACACCAAACCCAGAGAGCAAAAATAACTGCATTAACATGCTGCCAGTCTAACCACATTTCAAAGCCCGCCGTCCTCCCTTCCCAGCAGTGGGCATATCTACACTCTAACAACAAGAGGCATGTTTTTCTTGGAAGAAGTGATAAATTTTTCACATTGTTTCATTTCCTTCCCTGCATTTTAAATTGACTTAGCCAGCAAAGCCCCCAGTCCATTTCCCTTTCAGACTCTCGTGCCTTGGAGCTGTGCTGCTGCGCTGAAGTTGGCAAACACTGCAGGGAAAGGCTTAAACCCAAACAAAAATACCTGTAAACCAGTTGTCTCTGCAAAGTTTTGAGTGCAGCAGGGCCCCATCCTCACAGGACCCCCCGGCTGTCACCGCAAGATAAACGAGCATAGAATAACTTTTTTCCTAGCATCTTTGATGCTACACTTAGGAAAAGGCTGAGCATTATTTAACCCTGGCTGTGCCTTAGCGAGGCCAAGGAGGGACAGACATGCCACCTGCCCCCAGTGAGATACTACTTAGCCTTTACGTTAACACATCCCACCGTCTCCTGAAGTCAGTTCTCAGTCCTCACCTTTTTACCAGCATAACCAGTCACCTCCCAGAGGGTCAATACAGGAGGACCAGCCCCAGCTGCCGGCGCAGATCCTGACTCCGTTTCAAACCTCTGACGTCCCAAGTTAGTCCAGGCGGGTGCTCACGGGTTCTGCAGACACAGCCTCCATCTTCTACCCTGCAATCAGTTTTCTAACCTGTAGTGTCGGCCTGGAGTCTCTTCCCACCTCTGCCCAGCTTCTGTGTGTGACAGGGCTGCAGAATGACTCAGAGGAGGGAAGTTAATGATTCAAGGCTTCTCCCCTTGGATGCACAGAGGACCATTAAAAATCCTGTCGCAGCACAGCCAAGCTCTGGCCTTGACTGTCCCTGGTTCCGCTACAGAAAAGCTGCCTGGCACATCACCCCCTCCGCACAACTGTCAGAGGGGTTGTTTCAGGTGCCTCCAGCAGAAGGAAAGCTTCTCCTCTCCGACCAGGGCTGCTGTCATTGCTCTGCTACTTCATAACTGTAATCCAAGGAAACCACCTTGCCCTGGACCATGGCTCAGCACTACAGGCAGGATGCAGCCAGTTGAAAATGCCGCCGCGCAGCACATTGCCCCAGCAGCGCGTGAACCCTCTTTGCCTTCTGACACCTCCCGGTGTGATGCTGAGGGGCCAGGTTTGGTCTGGCAGAGGGTGTGCGGGGGGACATGGGGGCCGCCCCACGGGGCAGGATTTGTGTCCTGGGTGAATGTTATTTCCCTGGTGAGACCCCACCTGGAGCGGTGCGTTCAGATCCGGAGTCCTCAGGGCAGGAAAGACATGGGCCTGTTGGGGAGGATCCAGAGGAAGGCCACTAGAGTGAGGAGAGGGCTGGAGCACCTCTCCTGTGAGGAACGGCCGAGTGAGCTGGGGTTGTTCAGCCTGGAGAAG